GGAGCTTTTCTGAATGGTTATTTCATGTGAGGAACATATATGATCCAAACATATGTAAATTAATCTCTTTCCATACAGAATTACCAAGTAAACAAAAAAAAATCTTCTCAACAAGCTGTTGGAACTGACCGTAGAGCAATAGTCTTTCAACAAAATAGGATACTGTATTATCGCTTCAAAAGCCGACAATGTGATCTTGATAAATTCTTCCGATGCCATCAGTCCTAGGGATACAGTTAATTATTACAGGTGTTGATCTTCATGTGCAAAATCACGATATCAAAGTACCTCAAACAAAGACGTAAACTGTCCCATGGTCTACTCACCTATTGCTCCATCTATGTTAGTTTCTCCTGAGTCTACAGATATAATATGACTCTGTAAAAAATAAAAATTAATAAGTGAAGATTTCAAAATAACTCTGAAAGAAAATATAGATAATGTTTTCCCCAAAACGGCACCTATCCTTCTTACTGAAATAATTCCTGGAAGGTATTACATACCATATACAATTTATTAAACACTATAATCATAGTCTTAAAATATGATCATATGAAATAATATATATATTATAAACCATAGTCATTTTTAAACATACAGATCACTATCCATGATATTTAATGTTGGAATAAATTCAATAGCAATAAAAGCACAGAAAGGTCAACCTATAAAAGTGAGGAAAATCCAATTAATACATAACCATTTCCAATATGATACACTTATTCAATCGCCGCCTTGGATGTTAGTAATCAGGTGAAACAATCCTCTCAAAGGCAGGTCAAGGCTTATCTACCCTGAGTGCACATTGCATCGAGATGCAGTAGTTCAAGGACTGCCTTCAAAGTTCACCACTGTTGTTAGTCCCTCCTATATATGTCCTACCCGAACCCCAACCCCAGCCCCATGCCTCCATGCAGGATGACCCCCAACACTGTTCTAGAGGCAGGCCTACAAAGCTCGGCTATGAAGGAAGGAAGGAAGGAAGGAAGGAAGGAAGGAAGGAAGGAAGGAAGGAAAGAAATTTTTAAAAAAAGCTTTTTCTAAGGAAGAGATACCATAAGTAAAATCAAAAGACAAATGTGGGCAGCCTCCTCAGCAGTTCCCAGGAGTGTGAATGTGTGTGGAGGGCTTGGTGACTCAATCACTATATCACTAGAATGATTTCTCTATTACTCGGAGAGTGTAATCCCCCCCCTTCTTAGTGCCCAGCTCAGGGTAGGAGATGATACAAAACTGAGTTTTGTATGTGTGAGTTTCCCAGTCCCCAGCTGAACGCACCACACAGAAGAGATACTCTGTGACAATGATCTGAATGAAACAGTAATAATAAGCAGCGTGGCCATGTTAGTGATGTGTGGAAACACTACAAAAGAGTTCTGGCCCCCGGCTCATAAAAGAATACATATATAATATTTTATATATAATAACAAATAGCAAATAAAGTATAAGATTACCCTGAAATAGAAAAAAAACAAATAAGCAATTAGTCTGGAGGGAAAATGAGTCTACTTGGTCCAATGGTTCCTCTCAAAATACTTGGTAAAGTTATTTACTAAAATACTAATGTATAGTAACAACTATATATAACAATATAAAGGAACGTATGTGTAGACTTTTGTGCTATAAAAAATAAAGAAAAATAAAGAAAATCCTTAAACCCATATTTGAGTTAAGAACTAAGACATTCCAGGGGCACCTGGGTCGCTCAGTCAGTTGAGCATCCAACTCTTGATCTCAGCTCAGGTTTTGATCTCAGGATTGTGAGTTCAAGCCCTACGCTGGGCTCCATGCTATACTTAAAAAAAAAAAAGGGGGGGGGGCGCCTGGGTGGCTCAGTCGTTGGGCGTCTGCCTTCGGCTCAGGTCATGATTCCAGGTGGGATCGAGCCCCACATCGGGCTCCCTGCTCGGCGGGAGGCCTGCTTCTCCCTCTCCCACTCCCCCTGCTTGTGTTCCTGCTCTCGCTATCTCTCTCTGTGTGTCAAATAAACAAATAAAATCTTTAAAAAAAGAAAAAAAAAAAAGAAGAAGAACTAAGACATTCCCAATTCTTTGCATGAGCTTCCTCACCCCATGTCATGTTTTTGGAGATAACCACTGTCATGAATTTATCATTTCCTTGGCATTTTTTAATAGTTTTACTAGACTTGTGTCCCTAAATTGTATACTGTTTGGGTATTTTTGAACTTCACTGAAATGGTATCAAACTGTACACAGTTTATACAAATAGGACAGTATATAGCCATTAAAATGTGGGGAAAAAAGAAATTTTTAAAGTTATGGGAAAATACTTATGAGTCAAAATTAAATAGAAAAAAACTGGGGTGGCTGGGTGGCTCAGTCAGTTAAGCATCTGACCCGGTTCTGGCTCAGGTCATGATCTCAGGGTTTTGAGATCAAGCCCAGTATGGGGCTTCCCACGCTCAGCAGGGAGTTTACTTCCCCTCTCCCTCTGCCCCTCCCCCTGCTTGCTCTCTCTCTCACTCTAATAAAATCTTTTAAAAAGTTAAATAGAAAAAAGAATACAAATCTATATACACACAGCATAATCTCAACCACATGTATCAGTGTAGGTCATATATATCTATACGTTACACATACAGTTTTCTACACACAGATGCATATATGTGAATTGAAAACACTCTAAGTAAACAACAATATGTTAACAATGGGGTTGTTTTTTAGAGTGGTGGAGTTATGGGTGCTTTCTCCTTCAAATCTCACTATAATTTTCTACATTTTCTTGAATAAGCATGTATTTTATAATTTAAATAAATAAGCACAAATTGCCTTTAAGACAAAATCTCAAAGCCATATGCTCTTTGAAAGCTGAACATATGAGTCACTTTAAATTGTTTTTTTTCAGTCTATGACTACAAAAACAAAAAAAGATTAAAAAAGAAATAATTGTAATAAATAATAAAATAAAATTTTAAAAAGGCAATGTAAGCCTGTCACGATGATTTGGCTGAAATAGTTTCACAAAATTCCAAACCGGGCACATAACTTTTGCTGAGTAAATACGGATTTGATGTTGAATAAAATATCCAAAGAAAGATGTCTTTTGACTTAAATAAATCTATTTAAAGTTCTGTGGATTACGAAGTAAAGAAAGAAGGCACAGCACAGTGTTTATACTATGATCTCTCTTGTGTATATATTTTTAAATATAGATCATACACAAACACAGATGAGGACAAAAATTCTGGAGGAAGAAATAAAAGGAAAGCACTAACAGAGGTGCTGGCCTGGGAGGTGGGCTTTCACGCTTCATTTTCTGCCCTTCTGCAGTGTTGGAATTTTCTAGCCATATATGTGTACTAATTTTTTTTCTTTTTTGGGGGTGCCTGGGTGACTCAGTCATTAAGCATCTGCCTTTGGCTCGGGTCATGATCCCAAGATCCTGGGATCGAGCCCTGCATCGGGCTCCCTGCTCAGCGGGAAGCCTGCTTCTCCCTCTCCCACCCCCACCCCCCCACCCCCCGTTTGTGTTCCCTCTCGCTGTATCTCTCTCAAATAAATAACATCTTTAAAAAAAATTTTTTTCTTTTTTAATGTCATGAAGGATTATCTAGATAGTGAAATTATGGGCTTCTTTTAACTTATTTTCCTTATACTTCCTGTTTAATTTAAAAAAATCCCTCCTGAATGTTTCATTGATTTACCAATTTTAATGTCTTTTGATATATTTCTTCTTCTAGTAAGCATGAAGGTGTATAAATTAGGAAAATAAGCTAGATGCACCAGTGCGCAGAGAGAGGGCTCACTTGAGATAAGCAGTCATGAATTTAAAGTGAGACCAGTTACAAAAAAATAAAGAACAAGAAAAAAAAAATTAAGTGAGGCCAGTTATTTCATTGAGTTTTTCTCTAGCCATATTTAGACCCTCAAAGCAGGAGGTGGAAAATTACATTGGGCCAGAATTAGGGTTTGCCAGAGGATGACACCGGAGGAAGAAAGCAAAGGGAGTTACAGGTATGTGTAAAGCAATAATGGGGGCTGAACAAGGGACTTGAAGCTGAGTGAAGAGAAAAGTGAAGTCGTTGGCCCTTGAAGGGCAGGATGGTGAGCGGAAAGTGCTAAGACCAATTTAAGTCCAGAGGAATCGAAGGGCTGCTGGACATGGGGAGCAGAGGAAGTGAGGTGAAGATCAGTGGTGGTGGCCAGACAGCGAGGCGCTGGAAAGGTCATGGATGCAGACAGCTGAGAGAGGGAAGACAAGCTCCTGAGGGAAGAGGTGCTGGAGAGGCTGAGAGGTTGAGGTGTTGGAAGGATGGTCCATAGTGAAGTCTGGCTTTCCAAGAACGTGGACAGATGCAGCACGGAGACATTAGCAGTGAGCTCAGTGCTGGGAGATTCCGAGGAATGAGGGGCAATGATCCAGGAATCTGTATGAGCACAGCACAGGGCGTAACACAGGCCACCTTCTCACGGCACAAGCTTCACAGCTGGGAGTTTTAGCAGAGAAGCAGAAAGGAGGGACACCTGCCCCACAGCCAGGCTCCCCGGGTGGAGGAGTAGGGGGCAGAAAATGGCACCATCTAGAAGAAAAAGCTGCACCTCCAGCGCAGGCTGGTGCTCTGCAATATCATTCAGTACTTCAAAGAAGCTGGGAATGAGCTCCTGCAGCAAACTATGTATATGATTTAACTCATGGTTCATAAAAAGGGGGGGGGGTGGGGACTCATAACAGGAACACCTGTGTGGCAGTGAACAAGTACACAGTACCATATTTTTAAAAATGTAAGATGCACTCTCTCTGTTGTATCTACTGCAACTGAAGTCAACACTTTAAAAATCCGCAGAAGGCAGGGAGTAGGTCTCTTTTCAAATAATTATCTCAATGCCCAGGATAAGTAAAGATTTACTAATAATGGAAATTATAATTATACTTTTGTATAAAAATCTATCAGAATCATTTTATCATTTCTTGCATTTAAAAATTAGAACTGTGAGGTCTTTTTTTTGTATAAAACTGTAGCCACCACACTGCCATTATTGCACTTTTATAAGCTAAGGAGGCCAGGACTTCAGAAGAAAACCACAACAAAATCCTTTTCCTCAGCTCATTAATCAAGAGCATTTTCAAAAGGACACAAGAAACACAGTGAACATTAGGTTAATACACATCATGAGTTCCCGAGCATACTTCCTTAATGTCACTGCTTCCTATTTCCCAGCCCAATTCAATGGAGGCCCCACAGAACTATGGTATTCACCACAGGATTTCCCCATAGCACTTCCCCAGAGGCTCACACTATCCCTAGATAACTTTTTTTTTTTTTTTTAAACTGGAGAGAGAGGTGGGTATGATGACACACTGCTTCTGTTAATCAAAAGGGAAAATAGCAATTATCAGCTATGTAGCCCTCTTTTGCCTGGACCCTTTCAAAGCTTAAAAATGGTTTAAAGGTGCCCCACTAAATTGTTTCCAAATACTCACCTCTTTAAAACATAAGACGACGAAAACTTCATTTTAGTTGGGAAAAATATGTTCACAAAATGTTAATTCCTATACTCATGTGTCCATACGTAAGAAGTATCCCGAATTTTTCTACCAAAAAAAGAGGTCTATGGGTCAAATAGGCAAACCATGCCTGGTGCCAGCACGAGGAGTGAAACCAACAGGAAGCACACAATTCCACTGCCCCCTCCAGCCCGGCTCCTTCAGGACCCTTCTCACGAGTGGCCACCGCACCAGCCTGACTGCCGTCTCCATAGCTGTGAAAGGCAGGTCAGCAGCTCCTGGAGAGCTGCGTTAGAGGAAGCCCAAAAGCTCTGGACAGCAACTTGCTGCCACTGGATACAGCTACTAAAGATGAACCACACTGGAATACCTCAAATTAAGGCACATTAAGCTATTCTACCAGCTATATTTCGAAAAACACGAAAAATAATATTTATCTCCAGATAGAACAATAAGGCTTTCAAAACACAGTACCAAATACATACACAAGAATGACATGCGCCCTCAGGCCACCAGGACAGAAGGTGTCCTGTGCTCTGGACAGTTTCTACAGGACTGCTCTACAGAAGACATACAGCTGTGCAGCCCCCTTCTCTCCTCATAACAAAACAAAACAAAACCAACAGACAAAACCTCTCAAATAAGTTCAGGAAACCCTTGCCAAAGCAAAATTTAAAAGAATTATTTCAAAGGCTTTAATATGCTATTCTGCACTGTGAATTTCTATGAAGCTGGAGGATGTTGGATAAGTTGACTTCTCCTGGTGGCATCAGTAGGGCACTGTGACTTCAATAATACCTTTAGCACCTTCTAGATAGATTATGAATCAATTCACAGAAGTAACAACCCTCAACAGTTCATAATATATGCACAAGAACTCTGTAGATAACTAAATCCAAGTCCTTCATTTTAGTCAATACCTCTTTCCCTTTACTAGTTTTTCATCAAAGCCATCAACACTGAGTATAAGAACAATGAACACATACAGCTAAGGCAAATAACAGATGTGATGAGGAAAATAATGAAAAAATTCTGGGACTGGCCATGATCCAAACTAGGAAAACAGCCTGAGGAAAGCCCAAAGATCTTTTCCATTTTATTTGCCTAAACTCCCTCTACCTGAGTGACATTATCTAGGAAAAAAACTGCTAAAGATTTTCCAATATCCTAATTATCTCTCAACCAGGCAAGTTATTTTCCATTCCCTAAAAGGGCCTATATTAAGAAGACCCTACAGACTACCTCCCAACCCACAGAGTTCACCCATTCTTGGGAGAAGATGAGGAAATCCCTCCTTGGTGTGGCCTCCTCCCTTGTCCGGAGCATAGCGTTAGATGCAGCAGATGTGTTCTCCCTAAAATACACACACATAATTCCTGAAAGTCCATAAAGACTTTCAGTTGAGACATTTGCTGGTTCCTTGAAAACCTAAACTGTACTCAGTTAATGTAGGCAGAGAAAAGTACTCCACAGGAGAAAAAAAAAATAAGAGAACAAACACGGACAAATATCTGCATCCCCAATAAACACTGTGCCGAAAGATTCCAAGATGTCTACCAGGGAAAAACTACCATTTCCAGGCAACGATAGTTCAGGGCAGTGGGATCAGAGAATTACGGTCATGCCAAAATGATACCTATATAGTACTTAAAAACAAATTAAAAAGCAAATTAAAAAAGGTAGCAAGTGAAAATTCTAATAATATGCAAATCCATGAATGCACAACAACAAAATTACGTACTCTGCAGAATTTGGGATTCAAGGCACTTAGGATGATAAAGATTTGAAATTAGGTACAAAAGGACCCTAACTGCATTGCTTGAACACACTTCTTAAAAAATCAGTGACCTCCACTCAACATTTGTACTTCAAAACTTCATATTTTACTCTATGATGAACCTTCTAGAAAACTATACTCTCACCTGTGGAGGACAGTCATTTTTTTGTATTCCAAACTTACAATAACATGGAGATGTTTACTACGTTTTAACTAGAAACCTCTATATCCTTTTGAAAATCTCAGTTGAGTATTTGTTATTAATATCAAAGTAAGACTGGAGATGCCATGTGACAAATGTCCCAGCTTCCTCTTTGTGTAGCTCTCCATTTTATCAACGATAGATATTATAACTATTCCAGGCTAGGAAAAAGATAACAGAATTCATGAGCCACAACCTGAAGAAAAAGACAATTTTTTGTGAGCAAAAATGAAGTGAAAGATAGGACAATGACTTGCTTTTCATTTTTACTCATCTCATCAAAATTAAAGAAAAAGTTAAATTGAGCTTAACTTAGAGAAATGCCACCATAAAAAGAGATACTGCATGTAACTGGACAACATAAGCCAAAGTAAATAATGAAGATAATATATTCACAGCATTCCATTCTCACCAGGTTGATTATTTTAAATTTTTTCACAACGTTTAATACCAAAATCTATGAAAGTGTTTTCTATGGACTTATTTACCCTACTTGGGCAGTATCTGAACAAAATACCTTATCAGGAGAGAATGTATTTTTCTCCAAATGTCAAATTTTATTACAGTCAACAGATAAAAATATAAAAAGGTCACATCCCTAGAGATAAATAAATACCACAAAGATTTTAAAATTACTTCATTCTGACACCAAATTCCACAGACAGTAGAGACAGCCACATTTTTATTAGGAACGTGAAAAATTCAGTGTTACTCACAAGAATAGTTCCATAACTGAAAAGGAATTCTTCTGTTACAACCTGAGGTCGAAATACCTGTGTGATGAGAGTTTCCACAGATTAAATCCTGAAAGCCACGTATAAGAAAACAAAAAGAAAATGTTTTGTCTGAACTAAGATTCAGTTTACCAAAAAGGGAGTCACCTTTACATTATTGTTTTGCTAATAAGATAGTACCTGAGAAGTTACGAGGTGAAGCACTATAGGCATCTGGGGTAGACACATCTTCAGCTGCTTCGCTTGGACTGTTGATGGGTGTTTACGACCAGAAACATTGGCCAAGGCATTAAGAATGTCACCTGCAAAGCACATCCCAGAGCAAGCACGACAGTTACAGACCACAAATACTTAGGACCACTAGTCACTGCTTGAATACTCATGGGGCTGCTGCAGTAATTACTCTCCAGATAAAAGAAGTGGGTAGGAGCTGTGTTATTTTATTCAGAAATATTGATATTATACTAGAAAGCTGTGGCCTCTGGGGACAGAATGGATATAAGCTTGATCTTTCATCTAGCAATTTTAAATGGTTTATAGTAATGGTTTTCGATATGATTGTTCTTCCTTTTTCTTTTCTTTTTCTTTTTTTTTTTTATTTTGATCTTTTCCAAATTTTAACCACAAGCCCTTTCCACACTTCTGTAAACAGGAAAATGTTATTTAAAACATTAAAAGTGAGGGGCGCCTGGGTGGCTCAGTCGGTTAAGCATCCAACTCTCGATTTCAGCTCAGGTCTTGATCTCAGGGTCATGAGTTCAAGAACCACGTTGGGCTCTATGCCCAGCCTACTTAAAAAATATATAAGTGAACAGATTACAGATTGCAATTTTTAAAGAACAGAATAGGATGGAAGAAAAAAAAGATCAATTCCTAAAACTTCCCATTGGATGATAAGTCCAGTCATAAATAAAACTTGTGCTGTGGACCTCTGAATCTTAGCAGCACATCCTAAAACAAGATGAGTCTGGCACTAAGAAACTCAACTACCAATTGACCAGACTGTAGTCTGCAGGTTGAAATTTTATAAAAGGTTACAATCCAAAAAGAAATTTGAAATGTTCTATTTTCAGTCATTAACAGGCAAAAAAAAAACCCTCAAAGTATTAGTAAGGAGCAAAAAGATACTGTCAATCAGCCATGAAGATATTTTCATTATTCTGATTTAAAACTCTAACATTCTGAGTCTAAGTATATTTTACCATAAGAGATTGGATCAAATTTAACATTTTAAACATTTCTGGTTTATAGCTACATCTGCTGGAAAAGCATGGAATGGGATTTAAACAAAATGTACGCATTCCTTAGGTTATTTTAGTTTCTCCAAATAACAATGAAATAAGAGATTAGCTGGAATAGACATCTTTTACAAATCATTATGAGATATTTGTATTTAAATTTTTTCAAACTCAAGAAATTTCTAAACTTTGAACTTTAATATCAAAATTCTTTAATATCTAAATGCTAATGCCCATGGATTTTTAAATTCTTTTAACAATAAATAAATGTGTGGCTGTAACCTGAAGGAAAATTTTTCTTCAGAATTAGGCAGAGAAAAATCTTGGGAAAGTCACCTACAATAAAAAGCCTAAGTTCAATTTTAAGTTCTTAAGATGCTTTCCTTGTGTTTATTTTCCAAAATTGCCCATTCACCACAGATAACACCTCAGTGTGACCTTTAGCCTGCTCGTTGCCTCAGTCATGTCACTGATGCAAAATAACTGTAAAAACAGATAAAGCAAATCTTGAATTGAAATCTTGAAACTACACAATCAAGAAAAGGTGTCACTGTGCTCGCCTGTGATAAGCAAGAGGCAAGAATAAAAGAGGCGAAGCCTAAAAGCCCAGGCGCAGAAAGGCAATCAGCAAGGGGCGTATGGATGAGCCTCCAATTTACCCAGGATCCGTGGCAGTTCCTGCACGATATGACGGATGAGAAGGTCCAGGCATTTGGACAGGTATTCATTGCTGCTTTGCTGCTCCTTGCCTGGAGTGGTCTTTCTGCTGTCTCTCTCGATGTACATCACCAGTCTACATACAGGAAAGTGCAAAAGATTACCTCTCATGATAAAACAGTTGATAGCATCTGTCTGAAAATGCAGCCAAGGCAAGTGTTTCCAGGGGGCACAGTCCCAATCATGCTGACATTTGGATTTGTAGCAATTTGCCAGGCACAGTCTAGTTTTGCCTTAGAAAAACCTAAATGTTTATGCAGTAAGAAAATAAGGCAACTTTGAATGTATCTGCCAATGTATTACAAAATAATGCCCTGATTTCATCTGGCCTTGGCCCATGAAAAGAAACCACATTCTTTAGATGACAGATGAAAGGCAGAAAAAGGCATCTGGGCAGAAAAGCGCTCTTGGAGTTTCAAAGATTCAAAGTAGAACCACAAATTGCACTTCTGTTGGTCATCAGTACTAAACTTGCTTGGAACCTCAGGCAAGTCACATGAATTCCGGCTCCTTCAGTAAATTGTGTACATAAATCCAAAGAAAAAGTTTCATTTCAACACTGGGCGATACGGATAGCAGACACTATATCAAAACATCTGGATTTCACATGTCCCTTTGTCCCCTAGTTTTATGATCTCTGCCCTTTAACGAACATATGACTTCTTCAACCCACTGGCATTCAGTACATCAATCTCTGACCAACTGTGCCCAGCCCAGACCCAAGGAACATACTGGACCATCACTCCAGATAATGACAGTGTGGTTGAAAACTTTTAGGCTCACGTTTCATCCCCTTTGCTGAACCCACCAGGCACCTTCCCAAATGCCCATTTCTCTTGATTATTGAAAGGGCAGTGAGTTCACTGCTTCCATCACATGAAAGCCCCTTTATATCTCCCATGCCATCATCCCTCATCATTCCTCTTCTCAGCTCCCTTGTTCTCACTCATATCATCCAACTTCTACTTCCCAGAGGGAACTTCGAACCAACTCCTACTGTCAACTGGAAAGAGGTGGTTTTGTACATAACACAGATATACATAAAGTATACTGAAATCATAAGGCTTAGCATTCATGTGGCTCTCTTCATAGATCTGGTCATGCTTTTTGCTGTTTTTGCTTACTATTACTTGGAGCTCTACATGAAAACATGTGGACAACACCGAATCAAAAGTCTGTTTCCATCAGCCAGTTAGTATCCTTTGAGTCACTGATTACAGCACTGGCCACACTCTAACAAATACACAGCATTCATCAAAATGCAGGGAAAATACTCATGAATCAGCAGAAATGTATCAATACTACTTAAAGAATTCACAGGACAAAACTTCTTGATGATGAGTAAAACCACAGAAATAAGACCCTGAGATTTCATGACAAGTGGAATCTAAGAGCTTCAGGAGATATGATACAATGCGTGGGGGTAGCCTGCTCTGCCAGCCAGCCTGGAGCTCCCAGAACATGCGGCACCACACACCATCATTATGGCCAGGAGCTTCTGAGACAAGAGCAGCAACTTCAAGAACCTCTTGATTAGTTGGCACTGGTCCCTCAGCCCAATCCAAGGAGCAGGACCTGAAAATACCAAGGACGGGGAAACTTATCCTTTTCTGCTCCCAAAGAGGGGTTGCCTGACATCTCCCTGCCCAGCCCCACCATCTGCCCAACAGCTTTTCCAAAGTGAAAGAATACGGCATCTCCTTCAAGATGAGTATTTCAAACACACCTTCTAACCATAATCTGCTCTTGATCCTACTTGCACGTTCTTTCACTGTGACCGTTCCTCAACTTTGGGGAACCTTCTCCTAATTGAATCCATGACATTTTCTCCCAATCCATCAGCCTTCTCTCTTCTTCACTTACTTCCTGATTCGATTATATCCCATCATCCATCATTTCGATACCCTTTTGTACCCTGTCTTTTCTTTGCGCCCATCTAGCCAAATGAACTCTGGATGAGTCCAGTGATCTGCTTTCTGGATGCCTGCAGAGAAGGCTGCTGCAGCTAAACTCCACCATAAATGCATGGCACCAGTACTGAATGGCCCAGAGCAGTAGCAGCAATCTGACTGTATCCATCAATGTATGTCCAGTCTATTTTCAAATTTTTCTTCTCTTCAAACCCCCAAGGGTCCACCCTCTCATGAGACTGTGAGTGATTTTGCCTCCTGTTGTACAGAGAAAATAGAAAGCATCATGAAGGAACTCTCCTCCCTAACTCTCAACATGGACACCTACTGTGCATCCCATCCTAGCTGCCTTTCCTCCCATCACAACAGCGGACCTATCTCTCCTTTGCTCTGTGCTTTAGATCTCATTCTCTCCCACCTTCTCAGAACCTTAAAACTGCCAATTACTCATTTTCCCTTTTATATATTTACTTCCTCCCACTTAACAAAATAATTTTCATGTTCTTCTAGCAACTTCCTCATTGCCTCTCTGGGCCCCTTCTCGTCAAATCTCTTAAAAGAGAAATCTATACCTAGCACCTCCACAGTTCCTCCTACATGTTCCTCAACCCTCCCCAGTCTGACTCACGCTCATCACTCGCTTGAAGGTCACTGACAATCTCCATGCCATCAAATCCAGCGGGCACCTGTCAGCAGCGTTCAACACTGTTGCCACCCCTTCTTGCTCCTTTATATATCATGACACCATACATTCCTAGTTTTTTTCTCCAGTTTCTTTAGTTAGTCCTTCTCTATGTCTTTTGTTGACTCATGCTCCTAAATGCTCAAGTTTATCAAGACTCAGTTCTAGATCCACTGCTCTTTTCTTACTACCATTTGACCCAGGTGATCGCATCACCACCAATGATTTGACTTCCACTATGTACACAGATGTTTTCTAATTACATAGCTGCAGCCCAAACCTGGTCTCTAAGTCTCTAAGTTACAGACCTACATATTCCACTGCTGATTTGACTTCTGCTTTTGTTTGTCTCAAAGCACTTCAAAATCTACATATCCCAGATAAACATGATTATCATCCCAACAAGCCTGGTGGTCTATCAGAATATAATGTCCCATTGTAAGGCATCACTCTCTACCCTATTAATACAGACCAGAAACCTAAGAGTCATCCTTATCACCTCCCTTTCTCTTACTTCCCATACCATGTCAATCATTAAATGCTCCCCAAACCCTTACACTTTTCCACTCCCAATCAAGTGCAAGCTTCCATACTGCCTTCTCCTGGACAACTACAGCAGCCTCCTAGCTAGTGTATGTCTTTCTACTCTGTCATTTTCACCCTTACACACCATACATCTATGTGGATCTTGTCCATCAAGTTGCTCCTGTTCTTAAAACCTTTCAAGGGAATCCCACGGTCCTTAAGTTCTTAAAACTCCCTATCATGACCTTCAAGGCCTACAGTGTCTGGCCCCCAACCGTATCTCCAGCTTTGGCTTACTTTCTTTCCTCTGGTTACACGTTCTTCCAGCCCCTCTCACCTTCCCCAGCAACAAGGTATTGCCTCTCTGCCTACATGGCTCTTCTCTTCTCTCCTGGCCAGTGAGATTTTATAATGTATTTTTATACATTTTATAATGTATTTTTGATTATCTGATAATGTTTGGCATCCCAGGAAACTTAAAAATACTGTAGGGCAAGAACTATATCTGATTTTGCTCACCACATCTTTCCACTTCTGAACACAGTTCCTGACATGAAATAAGTGCCCGACATATATTAGCTGACTAAACACATATTGCTGTTGAAACTGCCCTAAGACTTTACCCAGTTCTCTGAAGCAATTCCTTGGTCCTTACCTTTCCCAAGGTCTTTTTCTTAATTCTACTGTTTGATGTGTTTGGCATTTATATTGCTGGGGAAGGAAGGAAGGAAGGGAGGGAGGGAGGGAGGGAGGGAGGGAGGGAGGGAGGAAATTTTTAAGAAAAGCTTTTTCTAAGGAAGAGATACCATAAGTAAAATCAAAAGACAAATGAGGGAAAAAATATTTCCCCATTTGGTTCTTCAAGGGATGAATGGTTAAAGATGTGGTATACAAATACAATGGAATATTATGCAGCATGAGAAAGAAGGAAATCCTGCCATTTGAGACAACATGGATGGATTTTGAGGGCACTATGCTAAGTGAAATAAGCCAGACAGAGAAGACAAATACTTCATGGTAGCATTTCTATGTGGAATCTAAAAAAGGAAGGAAGGAAGGAAGGAGAAGAGAAGAGAAAAAAAGAAAAGTCAAACTCATAGCAACTGAGAATAAAAAAGTAGTTGCCAGATGCTCGGGGTCGGGGGAGAATAAGGAGAGGTAGGTAAGATAGTACCAACTTTCTGCTATAAGAGCAATAAGGTCTAGAGGATCTAATGTAAAACATGGTGACTATAATTGAGAACACTATTGTATAACTGAAACTTACTAAGAGAGTAGAACTTAAATAATCTCAAAAAAAAAAGATAAATCTGTGACTGGTGAATGTATTAATTAGCTAGATGGGGGAGTCCTTTCACAATGTATTATCAAATCACCACAATCCACACTTTAAATATCTTACAATGTCAATTATACCTCAATAAAGCTGAATTTTTTAAAAAAGACAAATTGGGAAATATTTCCAATTCACATCACAAAAGACTATTTTATATGTATACACACACACACATATATATACATATACATATCTATGCCTTCCAGATATGAATTAGAATAAAACTAAGAAGCCAAGAAAAAATATGAAGGATAGGAAAAGGCAATATACAGAGAAAATAATATAAATGGCCCAAGCAAGAAGATGCTCCACTTTGCCCATAGTAAGAAAAATGTACAGTTGGCCCTTGAACAACGTGGGAGTTAAGGGTGCTGAGCCCCCGGCACAGTTGAAAATCTACGTATAACATTTGACACCTCCACCTGAAAAAACCTAACTACCAATATTGGAACCACAATAGATCACTTTTTACTGTGATACGCAATTTCCTACAGAGATGAACTGCTGCTCAAGCACAGAATACTAGTGTCACATGTTTTAAGCAGATACTCCCAACACTTGAGCTCACTGCAACTGCACCAGGAAGTAGCTACAAAATTCTTACAGTGATACACTATGTGCTA